TGAGTACGAACACGGCTGGTGAATATTTTTAAAACGTTGCTGTACTCTAATCACGAAGAAAAAGAAAATGCTCCACACACTCAGGGAGTTGCTCTGATGCTGTCCAAAGTAGCACGAAATGCACTTGTAGGATGGGAATCTCACGGATCCAGAATCATCAAAGCATCATTCAAAACAAAGAAGGAGGGGACCACAATGAATATTATTCAATAATATGCATCCACCAGTGATAACAACAACGACGATAAAGATCAGTTCTACGATAGGCTGCAACAAATCATAGCGAAGTGCCAAAGAAAGGACCTCACCATCCTGATGGGAGATCTAAACGCCAAAGTCGGAATGGACAACACTGGATATGAAGATAGCATGAGACGACATGCATTGGGAGAAACAAACGAAAATGGAGAAAGATTTGCAAATTTATGTGCATTCAACAAATTAGTTATCGACGGCGCAATATTAACACAAACGCATACAGAAAGCTACATGGGTCTCATTGCATCACACCACAGAGAACCAGATAGATCATATTTATATCAATAAAAGATTCAGAAGGACAGTAGATGACGTGAGAACCAGGTGACGAGCTGATATAGATTCAGATCAGCACCTGATGGTTGGCAAGATAAAACTGAAGCTAAAGAAGCACTGAACAACATGGGGAACAGTATTACAAAGGTTCAATACAGCCTTCCTTCGAGATACTGACAAACTAAACGAATTCAAGATAACTCTCAACAATAGATTACAAGCCATACAGGATCGAGTGAAAGAAGAAGAAACGTCTATGGAGGACGACTGAAAAGGGATCAAAGAAGCATTAACTTCAACGTGTCAGGAAGTGCTCGACCGCAACAAGCATCATCAAAACGAATGGGCCTTTATGAGTCCGAAACACGATTCAAGAAACGAAGAAGAAACACAAGAAATTAACAAAAGCGGAACAATAGAAGAGAAAGTCAAGACACAAGTTGAGTACATGGAAGAAAACAAAATTTTTAAAACATTATTTCCCGACGTTTTAAAACAATCATCTCCCAAGAATAAAAAACCCAGTAGGAGCATTAATCGTTTTGCGGCTCTAATTTCTGCGATCAACTATTTTGTTTGTTTCTCGAATTGTCTCGTTTCATGGTAGATGGCCAGATTTGCTCTTCAACGGCTGTGCAAACTTAAGTTTTGATGGGACGACACAGTTTGTAGAGAAGGACATAAAACATGGACGAAGTGGATAGCGGAAGCAATACATTTACAACGTATTGCTCTAACAAGGTCGTTAAACGCAACAAGCTATTCTACAATCGAACTTCGAATGTTCAGTGATGCTTCAAGGGATAACTGTGGAGCAGTAGGATCTTTATAGCTGACTGGTGAGCGAGAAGATCGAGCTTACCGACTAGTGTTTGCTGAAGCCAGATCAGCACTTATCAAAGTGATAAACGGACCATGTCTTGCTTTGGCAGAGGGAGTTTGCTGGTAAAGATTTCAAAATTAGTCTGTAAATAAATGACCATCACTGTATCCAGGATGGCGTACTAGACCCTTACTTATGGTGCTTTATAATATAAATAATTTTTTTAAGGAGATTTCCAATAATTCTGTTAATTGATTATTGTGCATGCAATTAGAGCATTTTCATTTGTCGCTGTAATAATGCTTTTTCAACAAAGACATATCAACATAGTATTTATTGGACATGTGAATAGTAGAGAGTTCACTATTGCTGAGCATCTGGTGCACAAATGGTGTGGTATTGACAAATATGCTGTCAGTAAGTTGGAGAAAAGGCTTCTGAGATGCATAAAAGTTCTTCTAAGTATGTTTGGATAAATCAAAGCATAAACACAAACGTGTTATCACTTGATACAAGCAGCTACAACGCCGTGGACCCCCCGGACCATGAGAAACTTATTAATAAGACGGGCTCAACTACAATTACGTTTGCGCCAACCCCCGGTTGGTACGGTAACAATATGTTTGACAGGAGGCCGAACGTGGTGTTATATTAATGTGTGTAGGTGATAGAAGTGAAGTATATAAATGGCATCACTAATTTTGATTATACTCTCTTAGAAGCTTTAAATAAAATGGAGCCTTCATTAGTACCATTCCACTTTTGAGCATAGACTCAAATGTAACAACCACCGGTATGAACCAGTGATCAAATGTTCCAAAAATCATAACACGAGTAAACAGGCAGCGATCAGCAGAAGGTGTGCCAACAAATACTCAATACTTCAAATATAGTTTGACTGGTTTTTTTGTTTCACTAGTACCATTAAATATATGTTGATTCCAACTTTATAAAATTGGAAATGTCATTTTAAAATAGAAGTGTGACTAAGGCTGAAAGAAAAATTTATCTGCAAACGAGGAGACACTAGAAAAATTGGGAGGAAGAACAAGTGCCACCAACAGACTGGAAAGAAGGATATCTCATCAAGATACCAAAAAGACGAGATCTGAGCAAAAGTGAGAACTACAGAGGCATCACACTACTATCGGTACCAGGAAACGTTCTCAACAGTGCCGCTGGACCAGATGAAAGATTCAGTAGACACCCGACTTCCAGATCAACAGACCGGATTCCGTAGGGATCGGTCGTGCACAGACCAAATCGAGACACTATTTATTTTATTTATTTATTTGGACACATGAATATTGGTACAAGAGAGCGCCAATATATATGCGCCACGATCATCGTTGAGCAATCAATTGAATGGAACTCGTCACTATACATCAACTTCCTTAACTATGAGAAGCTATTTGACAGCATGGATAGGAGAACCTTATGGACTCTTTTTTGACACTATGGTGTAGCTGAGATTTTCAAGGTCGTACGGAATTCTTGCGATGGACTACACTGCAAAGTCTTGGATGGTTGGTTGCTAACAGACATATACTAAGTAAAGACCGGTGTCAGACAAGGTTGCTTACCCTCGCGTTTCCTCTTTCTCCTGGTGGTCGACTGGATTATGAAGACCTACACATCTGAGGGGAAGCACGCAATTCAATGGACAGTTCAAAACCAATTAGACGATTTGGTCTTCGCAGATGACCTAACCCTCCTATTCCATACACACGAACTAGTGTAGAAGCAGCCTCTGCATCAGTAGGCCTCAGTATACACAAGGGAAGAAGTAAGGTCCTCAAATACAACAAGGAGAACACCAACCCAATCACATTTGATGGAGAAACTCTGGAAGATGTGGAATCTTTCACGTACCTGGGAAGCATCATTGATGAACAAGGAGGATCCGATGCAGACGTGAAGGCAAGGATTGGCAAAGCAAGAACAGCATTCCTACAGCTGAAGAACATATGGAACTCAAAACAACTGTCAACCAATATCAAAGTCAGAATCCTCAATACGAACGTCAAGACAGTTCTACTGTACGGAGCTGAAACTTGTAGAAATACCACAAACATCATCAAAAATGTACAAGTATTTATAAACAATTGTTTACGCACGACACTCAATGTGCATTGGTTGGATACCATCAACAACAGTCTACTGTGGGAGAGAACAAACCAACTTCCAGCTGAAGAGGAAATTAAGCAAAGACGTTAGAAGTGGATAGAACATACATTGAGGAAATCAAACTGCATCACGAGGCAAGCTCTAACTTGGAATCCTGAATGGAAACGGAAAAGAGGAATACCAAAGAACACACTACGTCGGGAAACGGAAGCAGATATGATAAGGATGAATAACAATTGGAAAGGGTTGTCGAGGACAGAGTTGGATGGAGAATGCTGATGGGCTGCCTATGCTCCTTTATGAGGGTAGCAGGAGTAAGTAAGAATTAGGTTTGTTATTTATTTTTAAATGGAGGGGGCGAAAACGAATTTCTTAGACGCAACGAAGTCTAACGAAGTATGTCAGGAATTATAGTTCACAGTGTATCATTCATTGCAGGTTCTGACTCTTTCTTGGAAGAATTTGAATACAGGATATTTGTAACAAACTCAGTACTATCATTACCGTGGTAATAATCTGGATTATGTGTTTTTAGTTATGATCAGAAATCGGAAGACCTATAGACAGGATATAGGGTGAGGATAGATTTCATAAATTCTTAACTGTACTAGCTCTAAAACGTATAAAGGCGGCAAAAGTGTGAATTTCGATTTCATATAGAGATTCGACTCAACACTGAAAGTCGACTAAATTTGTGACAATGAAGTATATATATATATATATATATATATATATATATATATATATATATATATATATATATATATATATATATATATATATATATATATATATATATATATATATATATATATATATATATATATATATATATATATATATATATATACAGTCGTATAGGTTGGTGATGATTTCGTGAACTTTTCAAGTCCAAATCTGAACAACATAATTAACAACGCACATAATTATATTAAGTTCTTTTTCAAAATTCTTAAATTTCGAGCACTGAGAAAAAATTTTCAATTTCCTTTGAATATGATATTATTAAGCAAGATAAACAGCTTACATGACGACATAAAGTAGTTCGAAAAATCGACTTTTATCCAGTGAACGTTAAACAATCGAAACCAGTTCAAAAGACTACATTAAACGTACGAAACATACAAAATAACTATTAATTTTGGAAGAAAGAATGTAAATAATTTAGTGGTACTTTCAGTTATCAAACATTCCCCCAATCAATATTTGTTATCAGTTATAAGATGAACAGTCCACACTAAGAACTATGTCCTGCAAAACACTTTTCATTATAACTTTAATGAAGGGTATGAATAATAATCATGATAAAGAAATGGCAGTATGCTTGAGCGAAGACAATTAAAATGTTCATGCCATATTCGGAAAACACACGCGTTTTTTTCCGAGATAATCGATATTTTAAGTAAACGAAGAAATATAAGACTCTCATTGAATAATAATAATAATAATTTATTTGGAAAAAATGATGGTTAGAAACTGTAGTGGTGGATATCGACAAACGATTGAACTCATGAAGTCAGATAAACAGTTTAACCTAAAATAAAGACGAGAAAGTAAACAAGATAACTTAAAATTATGTTTAACCCGATTCAACAAGCAAAAGACTGCTGTTGAATTAAATGGGTTTATAGTCTTACCGATTTTCCAAATGAAGGGAAATACCAGATGTCAAATACAATACAAGGTATTTCTTCATACTGCAATTTAAATCATTTGGTAAGGGATGGCTAACTTTGAAGCAATAGTTCTCCGATAATATGAACACGGTTTTCTAACAACTGTTAATTTTTAGTGAGTCTCATGAGTGAGCTTTTATATTTTGCAAAATGTCAGTACATCAGTAGTCCATCGTTATTATTGAAAGTTAGTAGAAATATAAGACTCTCATTGAATAATAATAATAATAATTTATTTGGAAAAAATGATGGTTAGAAACTGTAGTGGTGGATATCGACAAACGATTGAACTCATGAAGTCAGATAAACAGTTTAACCTAAAATAAAGACGAGAAAGTAAACAAGATAACTTAAAATTATGTTTAACTCGATTCAACAAGCAAAAGACTGCTGTTGAATTAAATGGGTTTATAGTCTTACCGATTTTCCAAATGAAGGGAAATACCAGATGTCAAATACAATACAAGGTATTTCTTCATACTGCAATTTAAATCATTTGGTAAGGGATGGCTAACTTTGAAGCAATAGTTCTCCGATAATATGAACACGGTCTTCTAACAACTGTTAATTTTTAGTGAGTCTCATGAGTGAGCTTTTATATTTTGCAAAATGTCAGTACATCAGTAGTCCATCGTTATTATTGAAAGTTAGTAATTTTCAACAAAAAAATGTAAAAAATTATGTTTCAGTTTAACGAGCACGAAAGGGAGTACACATGGTGATTCTAATCATTAATTATTTTCAGTTGAACAACCATGAGGGAGTAATCTACTCATTTTGTCTCAAACACTCGATGTGATATGTATATATATGTCAAATTAGGATTGAATACAAAGGTACTTAACTGTAGCATTCAGCTTTGAAAAGCAATGCTAGGATTTTTGGAGTAACCTTTAACATGGAAAAAATCTACTCATTGCCACAAATATATGGGGCGTGCTTTTTGCATTCAATTACTTCGGATTTCTAGTTGCATTTCCAATTTAAAAAATAACCACAGTGGTATAAACACAATGACGACAAGAGTATTATTATATTCAGAATATTATTAATCCAAATAATCAATCGGTCAATCGTTCAATCCAATGCAATAATATTGAATGGATAGAAAAAGTATAATCTGATATATTAATACAAGCAGATAGTTTGTTAGACAGATAAACAAATATTTGTATAAACACCTAAAACGTACATGGATAAAAGAGTTGAGAAATAGCTGTTCAAACAAATACAAAGTAACTAATAGAATTAGAGACCAAGATTTAGTTGTTTAATATTCCTTTACTTTTATTAAAAATATAGGTAAGTACAGACATGTAAATTTATCAAGTTACTGTCTCAACGTAACAGCTATTTGCTAGTTTTTCCAGCTAAAGAGAAAGAGAAGTCAGTAACAATGATGAAGTCCAAAAAGACCAGGTCACTACAGGACCATAAACAATAGCCTCCAAGTAGGAAAATTTGCATGAACTAGATTCAATTTAATGATAATGTTATCAGTTCAACATAATAAGTCAAAACATATTTTGCTTATGATTAAATCTAGATTTAAGAAATGCTTATCATCCTTCTTAAACACTTCCAACTGAATATACCCAAATTAGAATTGCGATTAGTACTATCACGAGATGAACTTACAGTATCCTCTGAATTTCACAACTAGTAACTAACTCAATACTTTCATAACAAAATGATTGTGAATATTAGAGTATTTGGACAATTAATGCACATTGAAATGAAGATACGTTAATTTGAAATTTCAGGTCAAACAGAAATATCAAGTTATAAACAACAGAAAATAGCTCACACTCTAAATCCCAACAATCAAAACATCATCGGGTGTGAAAAAACACATGTGAACAGAAATTACTTTCAAAATTGAGTTCAGTAGTCAATACAATGACTTTTCACTTTCAAAACTGTCATCCAGTATATCAATAAACTACCACAAGATAAACGTTGTTAGTTTTAAGCAAGGCTTATTTATTATCAGTCGATTTTATTACACAATAAAACCAGTGATACGATTGAAATATATGTTGATAAACCAGGCGATGGGAAGATATTCATCTGCTGTTAAAGGACTTCTTTTGAAAGTTACTTATAAGGGTAGCCTAAATCCCACAAAGAAGCGTGCAACCCAGTTTTCTCTGCTTCTTTAAGATACGTTTTATCTACTTTACAACTCAATTAAAGAAATTCCGATCACGACTGCACTGTATTTTAAACCATTAATGTCACTAACAGTTGTATTAACTAAATGATATTTACATAAAGATAAATTTTATTAATGGAACTCAATAATCAAATACAAGTTCCTGTAATTCCCCTTTCGAATACAAATTTCTGTAAGGTATTGGGATTTTTTTTGTGATACGATCTATAGTAGCTGAGGTGGGTTCCACGTCTGTAGCCAAATGGCTAAGCTCCGAGTACGTCAACTATCAAACTGCCGATAGCAAACGAACTGTGGACGAAGATAAATCCACGAACATCAGACTTATCTCCAATACAATTTAATAGAAAAGAGTATTAAAAATTGTAATAACTTGAATAACATAACCTTTCAATGGATGAAGAAAACGTTAATATGAAACGATTAGGAACTTACTTCATTAACACGATAAGTTCGATAAATTCGACATGATGCTCCACAAAACGTAGAATGGCACCTACGACATGGCAAATGGCAGCCAGGACATTCAGATTTTAGACAATCACAACTATATTCTAAAGTTCCTAAAAGGCGGCCACGAGAATCGTATAACGGATGCAACCGACTGTTGATAGTAGATGAAAACAGGAAGTTAACAAATAGACCAGGGAAAATATTTCTTACTAGTGATGAAAAATGCATTCATAGCCAAGCTACAATAACCTGCCTCAGGTCAGAAAAAGAACCCGAAAAATGTACTTTCATCTCGCTCGCATCTCATCCCATTTATCACAATAATAGCCACTGTCTGTTTTATAACTAGAGCAGCAAGACCATAGAGTAGTGAGTACTAATAAAATGATCAGTAAAATTAAGGTAAATGTATTCCTCAAAAAAATCGGCTTCCTGACTTCCTATTCAGCTGACCACAGGAAGAAGCATAGGCAGCCCATCAGCATTCTCCATCCAACTCTGTCCTCGACAACCCTTTCCAATTGTTATTCATCCTTATCATATCTGCTTCCGTTTCCCGACGTAGTGTGTTCTTTGGTATTCCTCTTTTCCGTTTCCATTCAGGATTCCAAGTTAGAGCTTGCCTCGTGATGCAGTTTGATTTCCTCAATGTATGTTCTATCCACTTCTAACGTCTTTGCTTAATTTCCTCTTCAGCTGGAAGTTGGTTTGTTCTCTCCCACAGTAGACTGTTGTTGATGGTATCCAACCAATGCACATTGAGTGTCGTGCGTAAACAATTGTTTATAAATACTTGTACATTTTTGATGATGTTTGTGGTATTTCTACAAGTTCCAGCTCCGTACAGTAGAACTGTCTTGACGTTCGTATTGAGGATTCTGACTTTGATATTGGTTGACAGTTGTTTTGAGTTCCATATGTTCTTCAGCTGTAGGAATGCTGTTCTTGCTTTGCCAATCCTTGCCTTCACGTCTGCATCGGATCCTCCTTGTTCATCAATGATGCTTCCCAGGTACGTGAAAGATTCCACATCTTCCAGAGTTTCTCCATCAAATGTGATTGGGTTGGTGTTCTCCTTGTTGTATTTGAGGACCTTACTTCTTCCCTTGTGTATACTGAGGCCTACTGATGCAGAGGCTGCTTCTACACTAGTTCGTGTGTATGGAATAGGAGGGTTAGGTCATCTGCGAAGACCAAATCGTCTAATTGGTTTTGAACTGTCCATTGAATTGCGTGCTTCCCCTCAGATGTGTAGGTCTTCATAATCCAGTCGACCACCAGGAGAAAGAGGAAACGCGAGGGTAAGCAACCTTGTCTGACACCGGTCTTTACTTAGTATATGTCTGTTAGCAACCAACCATCCAAGACTTTGCAGTGTAGTCCATCGCAAGAATTCCGTACGACCTTGAAAATCTCAGCTACACCATAGTGTCAAAAAAGAGTCCATAAGGTTCTCCTATCCATGCTGTCAAATAGCTTCTCATAGTTAAGGAAGTTGATGTATAGTGACGAGTTCCATTCAATTGATTGCTCAACGATGATCGTGGCGCATATATATTGGCGCTCTCTTGTACCAATATTCATGTGTCCAAATAAATAAATAAAATAAATAGTGTCTCGATTTGGTCTGTGCACGACCGATCCCTACGGAATCCGGTCTGTTGATCTGGAAGTCGGGTGTCTACTGAATCTTTCATCTGGTCCAGCGGCACTGTTGAGAACGTTTCCTGGTACCGATAGTAGTGTGATGCCTCTGTAGTTCTCACTTTTGCTCAGATCTCGTCTTTTTGGTATCTTGATGAGATATCCTTCTTTCCAGTCTGTTGGTGGCACTTGTTCTTCCTCCCAATTTTTCTAGTGTCTCCTCGTTTGCAGATAAATTTTTCTTTCAGCCTTAGTCACACTTCTATTTTAAAATGACATTTCCAATTTTATAAAGTTGGAATCAACATATATTTAATGGTACTAGTGAAACAAAAAAACCAGTCAAACTATATTTGAAGTATTGAGTATTTGTTGGCACACATTCTGCTGATCGCTACCTGTTTACTCGTGTTATGATTTTTGGAACATTTGATCACTGGTTCATACCGGTGGTTGTTACATTTGAGTCTATGCTCAAAAGTGGAATGGTACTAATGAAGGCTCCATTTTATTTAAAGCTTCTAAGAGAGTATAATCAAAATTAGTGATGCCATTTATATACTTCACTTCTATCACCTACACACATTAATATAACACCACGTTCGGCCTCCTGTCAAACATATTGTTACCGTACCAACCGGGGGTTGGCGCAAACGTAATTGTAGTTGAGCCCGTCTTATTAATAAGTTTCTCATGGTCCGGGGGGTCCACGGCGTTGTAGCTGCTTGTATCAAGTGATAACACGTTTGTGTTTATGCTTTGATTTATCCAAACATACTTAGAAGAACTTTTATGCATCTCAGAAGCCTTTTCTCCAACTTACTGACAGCATATTTGTCAATACCACACCATTTGTGCACCAGATGCTCAGCAATAGTGAACTCTCTACTATTCACATGTCCAATAAATACTATGTTGATATGTCTTTGTTGAAAAAGCATTATTACAGCGACAAATGAAAATGCTCTAATTGCATGCACAATAATCAATTAACAGAATTATTGGAACTCTCCTTAAAAAAATTATTTATATTATAAAGCACCATAAGTAAGGGTCTAGTACGCCATCCTGGATACAGTGATGGTCATTTATTTACAGACTAATTTTGAAATCTTTACCAGCAAACTCCCTCTGCCAAAGCAAGACATGGTCCGTTTATCACTTTGATAAGTGCTGATCTGGCTTCAGCAAACACTAGTCGGTAAGCTCGATCTTCTCGCTCACCAGTCAGCTATAAAGATCCTACTGCTCCACAGTTATCCCTTGAAGCATCACTGAACATTCGAAGTTCGATTGTAGAATAGCTTGTTGCGTTTAACGACCTTGTTAGAGCAATACGTTGTAAATGTATTGCTTCCGCTATCCACTTCGTCCATGTTTTATGTCCTTCTCTACAAACTGTGTCGTCCCATCAAAACTTAAGTTTGCACAGCCGTTGAAGAGCAAATCTGGCCATCTACCATGAAACGAGACAATTCGAGAAACAAACAAAATAGTTGATCACAGAAATTAGAGCCGCAAAACGATTAATGCTCCTACTGGGTTTTTTATTCTTGGGAGATGATTGTTTTAAAACGTAGGGAAATTATTTTTAAAATGTGGTCTTCGAATAGTACCAGGCTGAGTATTTCCGAAAGGAAATACGTTGAACTGATGCTGATTGTTAAATGTGACCTGCAGATCATTTGATATAATATGATGAAAGTTTTTAGCAAGTATAAGATAGAATGAATCTCAAACTTTGCGAGCAAACGTATAATAGATAGCGAGAGAATTTCATGCTGTGTAAGACGAAATGAGTACTCAGAAAGCGATATGAACGAGGACAAAAATATAATCGACTTCCACATATTGATTCGCGAGAGTCAGGCTTATTCTGTAGCTAGCCGGAGCTGGCTATTCTAAAAAGCTTGACCCAAGGAATGCTTGGCGCAAACAGGTCAAAACATGGCATTACGTATATGATAAGTAGTAACATTCTGGTCATGAATAGTGGGCACATCCTCAAAGTTCGTGATCGAGGACCTCGTTCCAAAGATGGAACAAGTGGAAACGCACCTCTCGAATATGATTAACGAGAAATGATCGGCCGTCCATTTTTGTAACCAGTGGCCTGTGTTAGTCATAATGGTATTTTGGGTCCTGCATGAGGTTATAGTGGTTCTGTAAACGGAGGTTAAATTAGTCAAGGCGGATATAGTGCATTCAAGAAACGGAAATGTAGAGGCATAAATTAAACTGCACAGGGCGGTTTCGGTGAACTTGGACAAGGTGAACAGGGAAACATGACTTCTGGAGGATACGGTGGAAGTCAGTGTGAATACAGTGACACGAAGAGTGGTCGAAATCCTTTTCGCAATAGTTGTGGAGGTATGACATTTGGATAACATGTCGGAGAAAAGGTCGACCAGTGGAATGTTGGTTTGTGCTGAACACCTCCTTGGATTTAAATTTAGTAAAATACACGTAAGTAATATTTTGAAAAATCTGAAGATAAGACAGTCTGACTCCAATCGCTCTTGTGTGCATTATCCGAGTGAACCCAACAATAATTTACGGAGATAAAACCACTAACAACAGTTAATATTGAGTGCGAACAAATGCCAGAATGACCAATACAGTTTTCTCGGACAGTTGCAATCACATCGGTCAATAAGAAAAGAACGAGTTAGCAACCAACTGATGAAATATGAGGACTAAATAGTTCAACAAACAACGGATCCCAGACCCGTCTAATTACAACGACTATACGTGAAGCTTTGGTAGATTATCTACCTAGTCACTGCATTGACATTCATTTGATTAAACAGTAGCCGACTCATAGTACATACAACTAGATTTCCAGAAATGCAAAATTCAAAACACTTGGGTTTATAAAGCGATATTTTCAAAGAGCATAATTCGAAAACAATGAATTGATTCGTGATGAACGAAGAAAACCAAAAAGATTGTATTTTAAAGTGTTGTACAATAACCAGAAGACGATTGTCCAATAATAAACTATCCAGATATTGAAGGATATTGGATGACTTAAATGGTCTTCAAATGAATAATATAATTTCCCTCATTCTTGTTATGGGGTAATCATACAAACACAAGTGTAGAATGTTTAAAAAAATTTGTGTGTGAACAGATTGTTCGAAATGTATTGCGCAAATATATCACATAATTCTGATAAACTACGTCTTCTCATTGCATTATCGAAATTTATCAAAGGGACTAATTGTTTTAAATTTATAAAACGTTTATGCCAATCAAATGTATACAACACATCCTGAAGCTAAAAAAAATAAAACTGTTAGTGGCTCAGAATTACAATGGAAATTGACTATCATAAGACATTAATTTACTCTGATGATTTGTGACCAGATTTAACGGTCATTTGTCTGCGAACACTCCGTGTCATATTTGCTTCGGACCAACCGACTTCTAGTTCTTCCATCTGTCTACCTGGGTTAGTGAATTTTAGACGATCAAGTTCTCGACTATCAATGGAAGGAGTGACGATAATGCTGTTCGAGTCGTCAATATGATTTTTTCTAACCGGACTGCAATTTTGGTGATCTCCGGAACAAGATTTACGAGCTTTGGAAATCCGTTTAGCCGACAACTGAAGTGGTAGATTCCCTGATGGCGAAGGATATTCCTCACTAGATGCCATAGTCCTTAAAAAGTGAAACAAACACAAATTAAAGTTCCTAACAGATTCTGAAAATAAAAAAGATATATATGGCTAACTTACAACTAGTACTTGACTAGATTAAGTTTCGAAATAGAAGAAACCTTTATTCTAATATCTTGGTGACAATACGAAAGCAGGATCAGCTAAAGGCTCCGACTACGGATTCACATAAACATACTCACGAGAAATCTGATAATAAAAATGAACCAGCTTTACTTGTTAGGTGGGCAATATTCAATCCAAATAACCTGATGCTTCTCTTAGTGCAAAATATATTTGTTTAATTATGAATAATCCTATTGCTGAGTCTTTAGTGGAATGAATTAAAGTATACCGAGTGTACGAAATCTTGGAGTGAAGTTAAACCACGAACTGAAACTTTAATTAAATAAATGTTGGTCATTTACAGTACATAGAGGTTAAGAAAGCGGGATTAATCGTATTCGACTGGGAGCAAAAACATTTATTGGTTCTAAAGGTACTAACGTTAGTGTACCTCAAAGTTTCATTCACAGAAGATTTATTGTTACCAAAAGATGGTTGTTTTGCATAGTCAACTATTTTGAAGATATGTTTTATTAAAAATTATAAGTGTACGATTAATCTTGATTTCAGACTTTTAAACATCCAATTTCAGAAGGTTTGAGAGAAGGAGATGAATCCTGTTGGCCGATGACTCCTAGCTTCAGTTAATGGTGTACATGGTCAGAAGTCCCAAATTACGACGAAACAATTGTTAAGCAGCTTCGTCAATGGTATCGGTTTGGAAAAGCACGATAGTCCTGTAGAGCATTACTTCATACTGCGACACCATGTCATACACCGACCACACCTCCGCTTTTTCCAACAAGTCTCAGCGTTGGCAAATGATGCACGACATGGGACGACATTCGTAATGCATATCCAGGCCACTAAAGTCGCTGTTTCAAGATGGTGACACCAATCGGATTGTTGTCACTACAATCGAACACACATCCCCGAACTTCTGTGTTCCTAGCATGGTGTTGCCACTGAATGTCAGAAATCTTTAGAGACAACGATAATCACTTAAGATCCTCAACTCGGAAGCCAGGTTTCACAACCATACAGCAGAACGCGTTGTAAACTCGACCTTTTACAACAAGACCAACATCGCGAAGGCACCAAAGATGCCCCAGTTTGAGATAAGCCACTCTGTATTTCACTATACGTAAATTAGTATCATCACCTGAACTTAAACAGCTACCCGAATTCACGGACTTCTCGACTACATCTAACCGCCCACTTCCAAGAGTGAGTGCAGGTACAGGCTCCTGTCAGTCCCATAGATGTGTTTTGCACTTAGGTGCAGAGCACGTACCATACCTACGGACACTTCCAACCAAGTGCGGATCGCATGGCATAGATATCCTCGCACAGTAAGACTACATCATCCGCATACTCAACGTGGAAGAGTCTTTCTTCAGGTAACAGATACGCATCACCACTACATACTTCTATCAGAGCTGTTTTCAGAATGTGACTTTAGGCAGAGTTGGACATGAATAATGAGATCGGGCAACTCTGACTAACCCAACTACTCGGATGGAGTTAGGTGGAGAGGTAGTTGCATGCTTTCACACTGACTGAGGTGATTCTACAGTGTCTTCAATATGTTAATGAGCTTCACAAGCACACCCTTTTTCGACAAACAATCACAGAGGACAGTGCTGTTTAATGAATAAAAGGCGACCCTGATATCGGGGAAAAAACGATGCTTCGCCTTCAATAAGTACGACGGTGATCTGACATTTAGCGGAGCATGAACATATGACCAACACATCCTCAACCAGAACAAAACTAACCTGTTCCTCTCGAATCAATCATTCGAGGGTTCTGAACAATATGTCGATAATTTGGACCCGATTGGAAGTAGACTTACCGTCCAATAGTTGTTGCGCAGATGACGTGAGCCATTCTAAAGTTAGAGAACTGTCGCTTAATTCCAGGATATCGAAATATTCTAATTCCCAAACACTTCGAAACAATCTAGTCAGTTTCATGACTAGAGGTTCTCGACCGTCCTTAAAAAGGCCTGAAAGTAAATCTTCTGGGTTTTATGACAATGTTATTCGGATGCTGAGAATTCCATATTGTACCAAAATATAATATTGAATAAAGCCATCAATAATAATAATGCTGGAGTTCCATGAAAACTTCTGAATCGTTAGGAGAATCAGTCGTCGTTGGCAATGGAGGACAAGACGGTCTGACCGATTCCGCCAAAGCAGCAGACGACCTGAACTGCTCCTTGAAGAACTAAGTCCATCTCCTAAGACACTGGTGGGTGATATTGATTGGCACCCTATCAGCTTCATATGTTATTTCCCTCACACAGCATTTCTTGCTGCCAGTGGTTCGGACGAGTTGGAAGAGCTTCCGGTAGTTATCAGATGCAAACGCTTCTTTCAACTAGATAGCACGCTCCAACCACCAGGCTTCTCGATCCTTACGCAAAATTAGCACGATTTCTTCATGTAAGGACCCATCTCAAACTCGTGGTTAGTGGGAGTAGACCGATTCGCCTCAAGGAGTTATAAGGAGCCTATTTAAACCTCGAACAACTTTAATCACCACTTTTTGTTGCTTCATGCGAATACAGCCAGTGCTCATCTATAAATTTTCGTAAGTTGATAACTAGCCTTGCACATAGCTCAGTTCGATATTTGACTGGAACGGAAGCTGGAGCCGGCTTGTTTACAACAATCCATTTGATGAACTTGGCCAATAGAACGTAAGATAAGATTTTCGCAAACGAGGGCATGATTGGATTCCAGGTAGGTGCTCCAATAGGAGCGGCAGTCTTTTACACGACCACGTCTGCGGTAGCTGATCGCGATGTCATCAAACTGAGTCCAATGCTGAGATGCAGAGGGAGGACTCCAGGTAGCGCATTAGCAATGACTGTCCCGAAAGTTAGTAGTGGCCATAGACAGGTTGTGGTCTGCATATAGCTACAGGTGTAGGTCACCGTTATCTGACTTGCGACCAACGATTCGGCCTTGGCTATCCAAACGACTCTTCTGCGTCTAGAACCGCCACCTGTGCACTTACATCTCCGGCTAACACCTCAGTATCTACCGAACACGCTCCTCGGAGATTGCTTAACTGGTGGTAGGGCTCACCTTTGGTTGATTCCAGGTTATGATCTGTCGGGATGTAGGCTGCGATAACGAACAGACAGTTTCTCACACCGGTCTCTTCGCATTTTGATAGAGCTTTTGGATCTAACGGCAGATAATCGACCATTTGGAGAGGTCCAATCGATTAGTGCTGCCTTTGCTATGGTGCTTAATGAGACACCAACGCCAGCCAAACCGGATGAAGATACCTCTTAGTCCCCAGATAAATGCGTGTGAAATAAGCCTGTCGAACCAACATATGGAGAGTGAATTCGCGGAACGCTGCTGGTCTTAACTACAGGTATCGGATAGACAACAAACATCGATATTGAGACGCTTCGAAGACATAGCCAACCTTAACTATTGTCTGATCTACATTAGTGTGCGGACGTTGAAGGAGTTAGTTTGAGTGATTCACGTAGCTTCAGAAAGACTGGTTAAGGATCCGTATTCGGTAGTAGCAGTCGACTTCTAACCAGTTAGTGAACTGAGTTCGAGTAGATAGGACATGTTGGAAAATAAAAGTAAACATGGAATGAAGATAAAACGAAAGAGAGGAATAAGGAGATGTGAAATGAATTTGTAATTAGGTACTTACGATGGACATTTAGGTAGGTAACGAGAGCGAGCAAAAGTGGTCTTTTTATTGAAATTCATATTCGTAGTTGTGTTCATTACTTTATTAACCTACAAAAACCTAAGATGTTTTCTTCGGATCGAGAAATTATATTAATTGGTATATGAAGAGAAACCAAACATCTTGAATATCAATTATCTCAAACATCTGAAGGTTAATTATCAAAACATGGACAACAAAGAATACATTATTATGTTGCAAACAGAACTAAACTTAACTAAATCCATGATTTACTAAGACAAAACCGGAGTCATATTCAGCTTTTCGGTTCATATAATTAAAATAACACATGACGCATAACTTCTAAGGATTACGGAAATTACATTAGATTCTGAACAATCTACAACTAAAACACAGCATAATGAACATCTGTCTTAGTCAAACAACGTAAAAACCAACATAATCTGTTACCTAATCCCAAAATAAACGTTAGCATTCGCTTGATCGTAACATTACTTATGGTATATTGAAAAACTAAGTTGAGAAAAATGTAAGTTGCTCAACACATAAATCACTAAAAACGAAAGTCATTCAAACAACTCCTGTTTTCAAGGAAGAAGATATGTTTATGAGTGAATAGGAGCAAAAGAAATATAAATAAAATAGTAATAGCATGTGATAATGTACTTGAAATATAAAAAAGTCGTATTGAATCAAACTGATATGTATTAATCAATGAAGTTAACAAACAATCATTTTAAATGATAGTGAAGAATAAATGACACAATCATTTCTCTCATGTCTTCAATAAAGAAACCCCAACACACTTTAAGGAAGCAATGACCTCAATAGTTCAGTGAATCAGTACATTAGGATGTAGAAAGACATTAGATAAATGATATGAGATTAATATTTTGAGTAAAATAATGATTACTTGCAGTATTACAGCGTGAACAAATATTAGACACACTATAAGATATTGATGAGCAGCTAATTCAGTGCCAGAATCAGTTGCAGTTTTAATTAACTCTTGCATTACACCAACCAGCTTAAAAGGAAAAATTGCTGGCAACATATGGCCGAATAAATTCAGAACTTCAGTTGTAACAGTCTTCGTGGAGTGTTCCTATTTAGTAGCGAAAAAAGAATATGTGCTTTTAGCGTCACATGTACAAGTGAGAACACTATGAACACTACATTAACTTTATAAAAACATACCAATTTTTATAAACAAAGACCAACAAGTACTATGAGACAAAGCAAAAGGAATCCATGACCAAGGCTCTTAATCTCCCCCATAAGCATTAATTTTATAAGTTAATTCACAATTTTGTGTAAAAAAATCAAGAAAACAGCTTGGTTTACTGGTAAAGAATAGTCATGATTACTCTTCACGACCGTAGCTGCTACCTTGACGTGGTGATAGGGCTTCCCTATCGTGATGGCGCAACCGAGCTATATTGGTTGGAACATATGTTCGTTTAGGTTCTACCATGCAAGACAGGTCGATTGGAGAACGGTAAGACTAAAAGAAGCAACTCAAGGTCTGAGGGCGAAGTCGTACTGCTGGTTGTAGAGGGGTGTGGCAGCAGTAAGGTGCTTCCCTCAGGCAACCAGCATCTGCAGCGATGCTGTTTTCTCGCAAGGAAAGAAGGGTTAGAAAAAGTCGACTCTAAAAATGTCACACCTCACCTTACCTCACGGATTTCCGTCTCCGGCGGTGAGGCCCTCTTGAAGAACGGAGCTAACACGTCGTAAGCCTCCCACAAAAAGGCCGTGCGCGACCGGCCTCAAGCAGTTGTCCCTTGGGTTCTGCGGTCACGCTCCCAGGTCGTTTAGGCCAACATTAATCCAACTTCGTTTTCAGGTTCCTCAAGAAATACCCTTTCACTGTGTGGGCAGCCGGGAAGTGACATCAGCCCTCACACCCGTAAAGCACACGAGACCATGTTGGTCAGAATCAAATACTTCCTACACCTAATAACTCTGTTATCTCCACTACTAACGTCTTATGGTCCTGCTTAATGATAGTCAAGCTAAGAATATATTTCAGGAACAACTAGAAAAACAGTTAGGCAGCCATGTATGTGATGCCCACCCCGAGGCAGCTTGGAATGATATCCGAAAAGCTGTGGAAACAGCAGTGATATTTTCTAGTAAAGTGAACCATAAGGTTAGGAAGAAACACTGGATCTCAGCAGCATCTACCGCACTGGTAGATGCTCGAAAACTAATCCCATCTGGCTCTCAACATGACGAAGAGCAGAGTCAGCTTAAGCGCAGGCTGACAAGAAGCCTACGCAATGATCGCGAACACTGGTGGGTAGCGAAAGCAAGAGAGATGGAAAAGGCAGCGGCAATAGGAAATAGCAGACAATTGTTCAGACTTGTTAAGGAAACATGTATTAGGAAACCGACTGTTAGCGAAACACTCTCAGAGAAAGATGGACATATTATACATTCTCAATCCAGGAGATTGGACCGATGGGCAGAACACTTTATGGATCAGTTCAACTGGCCTTCAGCCACACTTCGGTTTCCCACGATCGGTAGTCAACCTGAATGCCAAGTTAATATAAGTCCTCCAACTCTTTACGAAGTTGAAAAAGCCATAGGAAATCTGAAGCGAGGAAGAGCAGCAGGCCCTGACAGGCTTACTCCTGAGATTTTTAAAGATGGTGGTTCAGTATTAGCAGAGATTGACTGAGGTCTTAGGTAGAATTTGGGAACTGGACGTAATCCCATCTGATCTCCAGTCAACCTGGATGGCAAGTTAATATAAGTCCTCCAACTCTTTACGAAGTTGAAAAAGCTATTGGAAATCTGACAGGTTTACTCCTGAGATTTTTAAGGATGGTGGTCCAGTATTAGCAGTAAGATTAACTGAGGCCTTAAGTAGAATCTGACTGGTCTCAATCACTGATTGTGCCAGTCTATAAGAAAGGACAAAAGTCCTCTTGTGACAATCACAGAGGAAGCAGTTTGACTAATATAGTGTCTAAAATATTAGCTTCAATAATACTTCGACGCCTAACCAAAGCTCGTGAAGAGCAGACTAGAGAAAATCAGGCTGGTTTTCGACCTGGACGTGGTTGTATAGACCAGATATTCACACTACGTCAGGTTCTAGAACACAGACACACATTCAGACGCCCCACAATCGTAGTATTTCTCATTCTTAAGGCGGCATTCGACTCTGTCGATCGTGAGGTTCTATGGCAGTGTTTGTCATTGAAAGGAGAACCAAAGAAGTACATTAACCTTGTAAAGGCTCTCTACTCGAACACAACTGGTAGAGTGAGAGCTTATGGCGAACTGTCATCAGAATTGATTACCTCAAGTGGTGTTCGTCAGGGCTATCCACTCTCGCCATTCTTGTTTAACTTTGTCGTTGATGTGCTTTTAGAGATGACACTTTTCTCGTCTACATTTCCAGGGGTTGAACTTCTACCGGGAGGTTCACTTGTTGACTTAGAATATGCTGATGACATAGTTTTATTTGATGAAGACGCTGACAAAATGCAGTCTTCTGACCACTCTAAGCAACAATGCAAGCATGTTCGGGATGCGATTCTCCCCCTCGAAATGCAAAATGTTGCTTCAGGACTGGGTTGCATTGACACCCGAACTAATGATAGGGAGTGAAGAAGTTGAGCGTGTCGACCGCTCCACTTATCTGGGAGGTCTCATCAGCCCTTGTGGTCTGGTGTGTGAGGAAATCCCAGCACGGATACAGAAGGCTCGACTAGCTTTTGCCAACTTGCGTCATTTATGACATAGGCGAGATATCCGTCTATCAACCAAAGGACGGGTTTACTGTGTAGCAGTTCGTTCCGTCCTACTTTATGGCAGTGAAACATGGCCGGTAAGAGTAGAGGATATCCGTAGGTTACTAGTATTTGATCATAGGTGTCTTCGAAACATTGCTCGTATATCATGGGACCATCGAGTAAGTAACACAGTTGTTAGGAAACGGGTACTAGGTAAGGATGGCAAATCTATTGATGAAGTAGTGAAACTTCATCAGTTGAGATGGCTGGGACACGTGTTACGTATGCCCAACAACCGACTGCCTCGACGTGCGATGTTCAATGGTATAGGAGTAGGTTGGAAGAAAACTAGGGTCGGCCAGACCAAAACATGGCACAAATCCATGAAGTCACTAATAAGTGGACTGAGCCATGTTGGTAGGTGTAGACTACCTGGTTGGGATCCGCGAGACGATAACAACCGATGGTTGGAGACCTTGGATGATATGGCTCGAAATCGTTTGCAATGGCATCCACTCTTTGTGTTCTCTCAAATTCTAATATTCCGAATTCCTCGTGTCCCTTTTTTCTTTCCAAATTTATTTCACTGGATAATACTCCTTGAATAATATCCTCAAAACCTAGTCTTTCCGATTACTTCTTATACTTTTACTCTCCGTCTCCGACTGTAAGGTTTTGACAAGAAGGGAGCTAACACGAAAAGGTCGTGTGTGACTGTCCTCAAGCAGTTGTCCCTTGGGTACTGAGGTTACACATCGAGGTCACTAAAACCAACCCTAATCCAATTTCGCTTTTAGATGCCTCTAGAAGGGCCCTTCCACGGTGTGGGCAACCGGGAATTAATAACCACACTCATATCTCTAACAACACTCAAGACCACCGTATTCATAATCATCTCCCTCTTCAATCCCTAGTATTCCTCATACCTCGATTATCAACTATACGAACAGCTGTAGAAAAAGCAGAGACATCTGTTATTGATTTAAAGTTACGAAAAACCAGTGGATTCCTGCTACAACTATTGCACTGACAGACTCTCGTAAACTTACCCCTTCAGGCTCTGAACACGATGACGAGCAAAAACAAGTCAGATCTAGATTAACCAAAAGTCTAAGGAACAACCGTGAGCAGTAGAGGGCAACGAAAGCAAAAGATATGAAAAAGGCAGCGACTGTAGGTTACACTAGACAGCTTTTCGGACTAATAAAAGAAACTGGAATTAAGAAGTCAAGTGTGAGACGACCTCTGAAACAGACGACACAACTGCTCTCAGCCCAGACGTTTAGAACAATGAGAAGAACACTAAGGAGCAGTTTAGCCGGCCTTCAGCTACTCTACAACTACCCACCATTTCTAAACAGCCTGAATGGAACATTGAAGTAGGTCCCTCGACTCTAATTGAAGTTCAAAAAGCTATAGCTAACCTGAAATGAGGAAGAGCAGTTAGTTCAGACAGATTGGCTCCAGAGGTCTTTAAGGATGGTAGCGATTAGGTTGACTAATATTTTAGCTAACATCTGGGAGTTGGATGTAATTCCATCTGACTGGTATCAATCACTGATTGTCCCAATATATAAGAAGAGGTCAGAATCATTCTGCCATAACCATAGAGGGATTAGTTAAACTAATACACCACCTAAAATACAAACCTCAATAATTATTGTGAGCCAGACAAAGAATCGTGAACTGCAAACAAGAGAAAATCAGGCTGGTTTTAGACCTGGTCGTGGCTGCATCGACCACATATTCACTATTCGTCAGGTTTTAGAACACAGAAATGCTTATCGGCGTCCGATAATGATAGTTTTTTCTTGACTAAAAAGCAGCATTTGACTCTGTAGACCGGGAGGTTCTGTGGCAGTGTCTGTCATTGAAGGTGTACCTCAGGAGTACATAAACCTAGTGGGAGCTCTTCACTCAAACATCACCAGTCTAGTCAGAGATTATGGCGAACTGTCATCTGATTCTGCACCTTCAAGGGGTATCCGGCAAGGCTGTCCATTATCTCGATTTTTGTTCAATGCCACCATAGACTTCCTGACGGAAATAACTTTCTCGTCGACTGAATTTTTGGGGATTAGTCTCCTAATACGAGGTCCACTCACCGACCTAGAATACGCAGATGACAGTCTTGTTCGATGAAGACGTTGATAAAATGCCATATTTTGGTAGCACTGAGCAACAATGCCAGCATGTCTGGGATGCGTTTCTCTTCCTCTAAATGCAAGTTGTTTCTTCAGGACTGGTCTGCGTCAACAAGTCGACAACGTCACTTTTCTTAAAAGTCTGATCAGTCCTGATGGGTCGGTGTCTGACGAAATCTCAGCACGGATTCGAAAAGCTCGTTTGGCTTTTGCCAACTTACGTCACCTATGGCGAAGACGAGATATTCGTCTATCAATAAAAGGACGAGTATACTGCGTGGCAGTCCGTTCTGTTCTACTTTACGCCTGCGATACGTGTCCATTAAGAGTAGAAGATACTCGTGAGCTACTAGTATTTGACCACAGATGCCTTAGAAATATTGCTGGGATCACCGAGTAAGTAGTAATGAGGTTAGACGCAGGGTATTAGGGAATGATGGTAAATCAGTTGATAAGGTTGTAAATCTTCATCGACCAAGATGGCTGAGCCACGTGTTACGTATGCCTGAACACCGATTACCATAAAACGCAATGCTGACTAGTGTCGGGGAGGGTTGGAAGAAAGTTAGGGGTGGCCAAACCAAAACATGGCATCAGTCATTGAAGTCACTAACTTCTGGTCTAAGCCATGTTGGCAGATGCAGACTACTTGATTGGGGTTCGCGTGATTATCGTAACCATTGGTTGGGGACTCTGGGTGACATGGCTCAGAATCGATTACAATGGTGTAGGTGTATACACTCTTCGTCTTCCCTTAAACCATGAGATTAAAATTGCTTTATA